TGACTTTGATGTTGGCTCACAGACAGTTGTTTTGAGTTCCATGTTGTTCAACTGTAGAGATGCTGTCCTTGCTTTGCCAATCCCCGCATTTACGCTTGCATCAGATCCTCCACGTCCATCGATGATGCTCCCCAGGTACGTGAAACTTTACACCTCTTCCAGAGCTTTTGCATTAAGTGTGATTACGTTTATGTCCCCAGTGGTGTATTTGAGGATGGCGCTTTTTCCCTTGTATATGTTGAGGTCTACTGATGCAGAGGCTGTTACTACACCACTTGTCTTCATCTGCATTTGTTGGTGGGCATTGGATAGAAGAGCTAGGTCATCTTCAAAGTCCACATGAACTTTAACAAGGGTGTTGATTTTTTAATGGTGAATGGCCATGCTTTCAGAATGGAGAAGGTGATTGACAATCAACTTTGAAAGCGTATGAAACAGCGTACAACTAAGTGTAGGTCATGTTATCATATGAAGTACGAAGTTACTACAAAGAAACCAACGGAATGCTATTTCGTTCCAGGTAAAACTAAGGCATATGAAAAATTCGTAATCACAATGATAAAAATATGATCAGCTAAATCAACAAAAGCAACACATCAATTCGCAGCTACAGCGTCTCTACCAGATGCAATGCCAACGTGATTTCCAGCTACAATTTAGATGATGTGAACAATTTCGCGCGTACGACATCAGCATCAGGTGTCCTTACCTAAATTTAATCTAATGGCTACGCCAACTTTACCATTTAAATTCAGGACGACTGTGATTAGAGAGAATTTCCTGACAAATATGTTTGAGATGTCAAATCCCTAAATATGACGTATTATGCGAAAACCAATCTTGAAATAAACATTTTAGTATATGGTGATTTTTGTTAATTAATTTTCGTATTATATCATTTGGTATGACTTATTTTTAATTAATTTTCAGTGCATTTTTCTTCGTATTAACTCACTGAAAATAAGTTTCCTATTTATGTTTCTAGTTCATTTTTGCTTGTGTTTATAAATTGACTGAGACTTTCTGTTCAAGTGAAGAGTCTGTTGATAATTTTTGTAGCTAATAATCATGATTTTAATCGATATATCACTGAGTAAACAAACTTCTGTGTAAATAACACTTTTTGATGTCTCCTAATAAATGTCTACAAGATTTTTTTTAGAGTAACTGGGGCTAGCAGAGAAGAGAGCCGACAGTACCAATTCATAGATTCAGTTCTGCAACAAACCGAAGGAACATCCAGTTTTTACAAACACTGACAAGTTTGTCCAAATACAATACAAGGTTGCTGGATTCTTCTGGCCTAATGTATATAGTGGAGTAAACAGCGATCACCAAACCGTAAAGAACGTTATATGACAAGTGGAAATTCCGAATTACAAATCCGTCAGTGGGTAGCGTTGGTTTATGTGCCTGTTGCAGATGAACCTGAATTTTCTAGTTTAACAAATTTACCGTTTTACATATAGAATAATGAATAAGTCAAACAATTAAACAACCAATCTGAAAATAACTGAATCAAAAGACTAACAAGACGGAAGGACCAAAGAGATCTGATTTTGCATGTTATACCATGGAACATCCGCATCTTGTCCACCTGTGTCGTTTAACAATTTCGATAATTTGGTTGCTTTGGTATCAGTCTTACTTAATGTGTCTGTAATTATTTCGTTCAAGCATTGATGAATGTGCGGTTTCTATTTGTTTACCTGTTTATTGAATGATGACTTATTTTCTGCCTGTTTCTAATTATTTGTTATTGTATTCGTTCACGTACTTCAATAGTTCAGTAGATTATGTGAAATACAAACTTCTATAAACCTCAGTAATCGATTCTTGGATTTACACTAGTGTCAGGTGAATTAAGGATGTCTGGATCATTAAAAAATTACAAGGTACTGAATGATAGCAACCTTTGGAATCAGATTAAGATTAAAGTACCATAGTAAATTGTAAAATTCTCATTGCAAATTAATTATTCTGGAAAAACGAGGAACCACTGTCATTCCTACGACACCAAATAACAACACACAACACTGATACAAGTGGAGATTTATTCACCCCAAAAACACTACGATAACTCTAGTCGAAAATACACTCATTTATATAATGATTTGTACACCCATCTGATTAGTACTTAGGGAAAAGTCACATGTATGGAAACTATTCAGAATCATAAGACACCACATGTTGCATATCATGCTGAACATATGTTACATGCAAACGAAGAATAAATGAATGGTGACTACTGGGAATTATATATGAGTTATCATTACATATATTCTTATTGGACAATTGTTAAGTGACTAGGGCATATATATAGATATATATTACTTTTATCATAAGCTTTCATTTGATCTACTCACTACTGTTATATGATTTACCATTCTTAATTTATCCCAAATCTATTAATTACAGTCTCCTGTAATCACAGTTTTATTCTAGATTTATTCGTAACTCCAATGGAGCTAGGTGCGGTTCTACAGCAGATCGGAAAACGTTTTATCTCGAGATAGTTAAGCAGTAGTGAAGAAAGATATTCTCAGACTCAAAGGAATGCTTCAACTGTGGTATAGATAGTGAAAATACAATGCTCCACCGTGGTCCAGAAGTAAATTTAGAGTTGAGTGCTAATCATTTCACTACTGAACACTGTATCGGAAATCGGATAGATGTAGTTCTTGTTTACATAAGCTGTCGCACAATAAACCTTTTTCGAGTCCTCACCTGAATCGTAGGAACGTATGCAAGCCGATTACTGTAGCCTATTTTTAAACTCATATTGTACTTTATTTATGATCGGTTCATATTCTAAATTACCCGGAGTAGTACTCACAAACACTCCCAGCGGATACTTAACTCAAAGAGCAATCATGAAGATATTTAGTAGATAAGGTATATCCAATGTATTAGTAACTGATAATTGAACCCAGTTCATAGGAAAAGAGTTTAACAAATGACTTATTCAAATTGGATGCCGTCATCTGTTCACAGCTCCACAAAAACCTCAATCTCATGGTTTAACAGACCAGTTCGTTTGAACTCTTCAGGCTTCTATCACATCAGTGAATCCAAGTAATATCAAAGAGGTAGAAAAACGCACCAGCGATTTCGTTTTCCAATATCGTGATGAAGAAGATTCAAGAACTTCAGCTAAACTCTTTAAACATCGCAAACATAAAACTCACTTAGTGAATGGAACATCATCATAGGTAACGTTCAACCGAATAACTGACTAGTGACCAACAACAAGAACTGTAATTTAGAGAGTGGTGAGTAGGACAGTTAAGATTCTTGACTTGAACGACCTTTCGTTCGATCATTTCAAATTCGTCAGTTACTTGCGCTTGTTGCCCCTCCTGGAGCATGGGTCGCTGGCAGAGGTTCGCCAACCATTTCTGTCCCGCATTTTCCTTTGCAGTTGTTTCCAAGTGCTATTCATTCCTTTGATGTCTGGCTGCGATTCTCGGCACAATGTGTCCACCGGACCACCTCTTATCCATTAGCCTTCAGAATTTCAAGTTTCTGCAGTGTATATTCTACCCAACTTCAGCGTCTTTTTCTCATTTCCTCCTCATCTGGAATTTGGTTTGTTCTCCGCCACAGTAGGTTGTTGTTGATGACATTCAGTCAACAGATATTGAGTAACTACGCTTGTAGCCCGTTTAGGCTTACTACCGACCTGAAGCCCGGATAAAGAAGAAGAGTTGGGGATAGGGTTCGCAACATCACCCCATAGAAAATAACCACTATAGACAAGCTAACCAGAGAAACCACTTTCAAATTCACAGGTAGATCTCAGTAGCTTCTCTGATAGGATCTGAGCTAGACTACATAGTGATATCATTTTACTATGCTGATTAGTAGGTATTCATTAAGTATTTCATCAGTCAAAAGAGGTATGTTCAAAAGGAACCTTAATTATATTGAACTTTACATGAATAATTTATTGCATATTGTTTAACACAAACATCTGAAAATATTTTTGGATCATGAGGACAATAAACATATTTCTAGCAAGAACTAATTCACAAAAAATGAAGATACTTCGAAATACAATATGAGATGAATTGAAAGGAGCGAATAACTGGAGCGCTTCTCAGAAGGTTAAATACCTTCCACGATACCTCAAAATCATGTTATAATCTTTTTGATAAGACTTCACGTGTTGCAACTTTTGACCTGTAGGAACCTATTTTGTTTGTTTGTACTGGTTTCAATATTTGGTGCTGATTAACTTGATTTCCGTCTCTCACATAACGGTTATGAACATGATAGCTGTACAATCACAAGATGAAAGCGGAGTTGATACTTTCTCATCATAGAAAAACTTCTACCCCTCCATGTTGATCGCAAGCATAAAATACCATTATTCACTGAGGCTCTATGATAATCTGGAAATGGCAAAAGAGCGCTACAACCCAGGAAGAAATGATCTAATGGTTGAGCCAACAAAAGTTTCTGTCAGACCCATTCAAAGAAACAACTTCGGTTAATCTCATAATAAATAGGTTATAAGTATGGAGTTTGAATCCCTTGTAGAGTGATATTTTAGTGATCGTAGCGTTCGACTTCCAGCTACTCAACCGCAGGTTCAAAGTCCTCTTTAAATACTTTGTTCAAACGATTGAGGATTATGGTTGGACATCGCACTTACATGGTGGCTCACACTCAAGCCCCTGGGGAATGAGTTGAGAAGTGGCAGTTAAGAACAGACGACAGAATAGATCTATGTTAAAATGACAATTTACTGAATTCAAACTTTTATTGGTCTTTACTGCAATGTTATTCTGTGATAGAGAAATAATCTTAAACTTTAATTAACCATTATAAACAAAAGTCAAAATTCAATTGGTCAATATAATACTCAAAATCAATTGGTTCAGTGTCTCAATTAAAATGTTAACTAGATAATAAGCACCCGATTCTTCAACGTTTATTTTTGTTATTGTTACCGTTGTTACCATTGTGTTTTATAAACACAAGGATTGTATAATCAAATGTTTATCAAGAAGAAATCATCGTTCAGAATCTACTATGCAATTCTGAAAGCATTCGGATTAACACTTTGTATAATTTTCACATTACAAATATATTTCATGCGTACAACTGTCAAATATGTTACCCTACGAAATCACTCTGAAGAAGCCATTATTGTACGCAATATGGCACATATTAACTGCAAACGCACATGTCGTACTATTTGTAAGAATATTGACAGTATTCCATCGAGTAAGGTGAGTGCATTGAAACCAATTGGGAAAATGCCATTCAATGGTGAATTCAATGAAGAGGCGAACCCAATCAACGACACATTTTATTCACATGATCTTGGTGGCGGTTGGATGTTTAAGGAGGAGACGACGAATTGCAACAATGTTCCACAATCCGGTGTAGCAATCATCATTGTTTGTAGAGATAGATGGAAACAACTGAATAATACATTGTCCGCTCTGATTCCAGTTCTCCAGAGACAACATTTGTGTTATCGAATATTTATTATTGAACAACAGGGTACTGGTATTTTGAACAAAGCTCAGTTGATGAACATTGGTTTTATTGAAGCACATAAACGTTTCGATTTCGACTGTGTTATATTTCATGATGCCGACTTAATACCATTGGATGATAGAATACCACATGGTTGTGATGAAGAGATGATGGAGAGTGTGATTCATTTGAGTGTTGGAGTGAGTTCATGGAATTATGTTTTACCTTACCAATCATTGATCGGTGGTGTTTTGAAAATATCGACTTCACACTTTATACAGGTTAATGGTTATTCGAATAGTTATTGGGGTTGGGGTGGAGAGGACGATGATTTGGAGAGGCGACTGAAAGCATCAAAAATTATGTATAAACACATTGAAAAGTCAATAGGCAGATATCTGGCTCAACCTCACACTAAACAGGTTCGAGCGAATAGACGTTTAGTACTTGATTCATTAAAAAATGCTGCCAGTCGTATGTTCACTGATGGGTTGAATTCTGTAAAATATAAAGTTTCAGCCTATTTTGAGAAGCAACACTACACACATTTTTTAATTACATTAAAATAAGTTTTTTTAAAGATTCAATTGCCTGTTTTTCTTACCCTTAAATATTGTATAACCTAGTTCTTTACACTGTGAGACAAAACTATTTTTATATTGAATGATACTTTCATTTAAGTATAGAAGTAATCAAGAAAGAAAACACTGATGTAGTCTCAAGTTCAACATTGTTATATACACAGTCAAATCTGTATGATATTCACAAATGCACAGAAAATTACATCCATATGTAGATAACTTAGTATCATTGATGGATCGAATAAAAGAATTTCTATTTGCTATTCATCATAGCGATTTGTACATCATTTACTTCTGTTGTCTATGTGTTTACTTTTCGGTATGTACTTTCTAACAATATTTCAATTAATTACTTAACCATCTTTTGAAACATTTAATTATATATCTATACCCTAGTTACTTAACAATTGTCCAATAAGAATATATGTAATGATAACTCATATATAATTCCCAGTAGTCACCATTCATTTATTCTTCGTTTGCATGTAACATATGTTCAGCATGATATGCAACATGTGATGTCTTATGATTCTGAATAGTTTCCATACATGTGACTTTTCCCTAAGTACTAATCAGATGGGTGTACAAATCATTATATAAATGAGTGTATTTTCGACTAGAGTTATCGTAGTGTTTTTGGGGTGAATAAATCTTCACTTGTATCAGTGTTGTGTGTTGTTATTTGGTGTCGTAGAAATTGCATTGGTTCTTCATTTTTGCCGTATAAGTAATAGGCGATGCAGAAATAACGTATACCAATCTACACTTGATAAACAAGTTACATCAAGTCGTTTGCTTGCATATGACAGTGCGTTAGTATTTGCAGTGTAGGCATACTCAAGTAAATAAATTAATAACTTGTAGTCATTATCATTGCTTCTCTATGAATCCGATTGACAAGCTAAGGATAAATTAAGTATAAGACTTTTTCATCAATAAATTATTATCTTTTACTGTTCCACACTACTAATACAATGATACGGGTATTAATACAATACTCTCATACTACTATAAATTTAATTGATCCAGTTACATGCAATAAATATTATTCTATTGCATCCTGAATAATAATAATAATAATAATAATAATAATATTATTGTCGTTATTATGAGGATTCTATATTGTTACTATTGTTTATTTGTTTCTAGTTATATCAGGTCATATGATTGACCTTAGAAATAACTTGAAAAAATCTTTATAATAGGTTGCGTAATAAATAAACAAGATTTGATGAGTTCGCATAATTTAGGAGAATTGAGTGAGTGGAAATGGATGAGTGAAGGTTGGTGGTTTACTCAATGGACACTCGACATAACGAGATATCAATGATAGACCAATAAAGCGGACGCTAATGATAGACTGGGAGAAGAATTCATACAAATTCTACAGTTAGTAACGTATTGAAGCGTATTATGAGTTATTGTGTGCGTGGAACAATAGGGCCTCCAGATATCTTTTAAGTGTTTTGCAATGTTTGCAATTTTTCTTGAAAATATTAGTGAATAAATGTGCAAAATATTTGAAATATATTTTCTGTAAATGTTATGGCTTTAGGTTGCCGTCGATTTTTACCCTGTGCTAATTGTTGTGTCCTTGACTGGAAAATTAGAGAGCAGCGTACTTATCGATCGATTACAGTGACACGTAAACACGTACGGACGGCCTAGAGTCTCGATTGGTCCCACTTCCCTGTCTAGCCCAGTTAGTTGAGTCCAGAAGACAAGTCACAGCCTCGGAGATATGAATCATTATATTTCAAACATACTTTGTTTATATACCAATCAAGCATACCACATCGTACCATAAAAATAGAAAACAACATTTTGTACAATATTCAACAAGTGAACAGATATCGACCAATAGGAAATGTCCATCTAAAGTCCAAGGACACCATTGGACTTAACATGATAATTATTGGTCTATTCCTCCGCATCCACAACAGTAAACCAGCGGGTAAAAAACATAATTGATAAGTCTAATATTGTAGTGAAGTAGAAAAAAAGCAGGGAACAACATGTGGGATAATCAGGTTTATTTAGCACCATGAAGATCTGAACTGAAATCAAATACCTTTACCATTCTCCACACTTTCACTATCTGTTCAACCTTTGATCTCATCCTTCACATTGATCAATCACTCACAAACCACTCAATTGTTAAGGAGAATGATTTCATGATCTGTAACACAGGTTATGTATGGATTATCAGAATGAATGAATAGAATAGAAATGTGTAGTTTGGATGCAAAATCTACTGGCGGTTGTCACAAACTCGAGTTTATGTATTCAGTCGTGGTATGTGATGAATCGACGTTCTGACAGGTTCATATTATTGCTATTGTTTTAAGGCGAAGTTCCTTTAGCAGACAAGGTTTTGAGTATCCCACTCGAGGCACTTCTTTAGGTATTCGCGTTTCATTTTCCTACCTGCCATTGTTTTATTATCTCTAAATCTAACATGGAGGACACGCTCAATTCATCTGCCATAATTTGTGGATGGAAGATAAAGGATATAGAATTAAGATAACAAGCTAGTAAATTACGTGACATTTGCAGACTATACCTGAATATTGATTGAATTGTGGTCATCATTCAGTGTACAAGCAAGGTCAAAAACTGGACGAGTTTGTGATTCCCCACTAGTCTTCGGAAGCTAAAATGACACGTTTTTGTTTAAGAAATCTACATATTTATGAATGTCAATTCTAGGAGGAAGCTGATTTAACAGTTTAGGCTTGATTAGGAGTTAGCCCAAAATATCGTGATAATGTTAAACATTATAGCTCCAATGTTTATTCACTTTCTAAATTTGGTATTAATTATATTTCCTTTAAGTCCATACTGAATGTTCAAAACATTGTGTGTTTAAAATGTAAAACTTCGAGCTCAAACTCTCATGTTCCAGTACATGAGTAAAGACATACTGCAGCCAATAGTATGATTTCTTCAACACATAAAACGAGGGATATCTACTTGCACGAATATGAATTTATATTATTGTTCAATAACAACAGGTCTGGTTGATATTCTAGAACGTTCTGTCGCGTTCTGGTCAGCTGGAATATATTTAGCCTTTTCAGAGACTCTGTAGGCCTCTTCGTGCTTCCTGGGAGACGTCTTATTGTGAATGAAATTAAGGAATAGTTGGAGGGAAGTCAAAGCTTGCCATCCATCACTCAACGAAGTTGCGTGCCGCCGTTACAACAGCGGTGCCTTTTGTGGGTGCTGCTTCCGGCCATCGTGTGAAACGGTCTACATATGTAAAGTGGCAAGACTATCCATTTATATCTAGTGAGGATCCTGCCAAATCCATACGAACACGGTCGAAACGAGCGCCGAGTGTTATGAAAGAACCAAACGGACAATTGTCATGTCTAATGGCTTTAGATTTCCGACAGCCTACACAGAAGCGTGCCCACTTTCAGACGTTTTTGCTCACAACAGACCAAAAAATTGTCCTGTCATGGGCTTAGTGGTTTCACGAACACTATGATGAGAAGGCTTGTGGAACGTATTGAAGATGTTGCACTGATAATGTTTCAGCAAAATTGGACGGTCCTACATGTAGATGTGTCACACAATGAAGTCTTCTTACCTGTCCACATCTGTTTGACATGCAGTTTCAGGGTTGTCGAAGATAACTCGTGTTGAATATCAGTGTCTTCTTTTTGAAGCCTGGCGAGTTTGAGAGAGCCAATTCCTTGGAAACCGTTCAAGGAAGTTAGACCAGAGAAGGCGTCTGCCATTACATTGTCTGCTCCACAAATGTGCTGTATACCTGAAGTGAACTACGAAATGTAGTCTAGTTGTTGAAACTCTAAGGGAGAGTTCTTATCTGAAGATGAGCTGAAAGAGAATATTAGAGGTTTGTGGTTGGTAAACGGAGTGAATTCTCGGCCTTCTATGGTGTTGAAAGTGCCATACAGCACAATACGTGACTAAGAGTTCCTTGCTAAAATTGTTGTACCTCAATTCAGTATCTTGCAACCATCTCGAGAAGAATGTCAAGGGTTTCCACATGTGGTTTACCCAATGTTGTTAAATTAATTAGATTACCGAGTTGAATACCTCTATTAATGGGTGTTTTCGTATCAAAGTGTCCAAGCTTAGTTGACTATACTATGATCTTCTTAAACTGTGTAGATTGCTTTCGTTGCATTGTCGTTCAAATCGACGATTTTCGTATTTTCGTAAGGTTGATCCGTTGAGTGTCTTATTGGGGACGTGCAATTCGAAGTGAACCGTCTATAGAAACTTACCAGACCGTTGAGTGTGCGTAAGTACTTGTCTATGGTTGTGTGTGAGAAAATTAGAGTGGCCTTTGGTTTATTTCGAAGTGATTGAATACATTGGGCGTCAGTAATATGCCCTAGAAAGTTTATGATTTCGGTTCCTATCATTCATTTATTGGTATTTACATTAATACCATGTTTTTGCAGTTATTATAAAACAAGGTTTAGATGCTGAAGATGAACTGAGCACGCAGTCACGTGCAGAAATGTGAGACCCTTCATGCACTACCGAGTAATCTCTTAAAATTTTGAGCAGCATTTCCTAAATTGAAGATTCGTAGATTCTGAAGGAATTGATTATCGCCGTTCTACTGCTGTTGTCTGCAGAAGTAGGGTTTCGACTTATATGCCTAAACCAGGTCGATTTGAGAGAAAACAGTAATACCTTTTGAGGCAGTTGTCAGGTGATGGATATGTGACCATGTTCTCGAGTTCACTATCTTGCAACTTCTCGCGGTGCCAAATACTGAGTGTCACTCTCAACAATTTATGCTCAGCAACAATCTGTTGGCGCGAAGTTCTTTGAGGGCGGCAGCTGTCATTTGGGAGGAAGGGGAGGTGATTTTCGTTAGTCGAGGTCTAGAATCCCTCTCCTTTTTGATTGATCGCACCACATGTTATGTCAATATATATTCTCTCATCTCCTTCTGATTTCAGCAAGTGACCGGCCAGCAAAATATCCTTATGTTGGTAGTGATGGAAAACGTTACACGAAGGAGTCTTTGGTGATCTTGGTGCCTGAAATCCTTCCTCTCGAGAAAGGCATGTCACCGTCAGTGGCTCGATTTCCGCAAGTTTGAGATTCCTGTTCAAATCATTCCATAGCATTCTGTAAATTTTTTTCCTGCAGACTGACAGGAACGTTAGAGCTGATTTTGAGGCTCATGATTATGAGAATCGTCTAGAAATATGATCGTTCCCCCAGATTTTTGGGTACGTTGAATTTGTCGTCCTTTTCGTTTGAAAGATGGATCTCGTCTCGGATTTCCATGTTCTTTGTTGACTGTTTGGGTAACCTTAGTGGCGGATTGCACGGCCGATTCACTAGCTAATTGTTCTTTAAAACCTAAGCTGTTCAGGACATTCGCCGGTAATACTCGATCATCTTTAACCCTGTTGACGGGGTCTGGTCGCCTACATAAATTTTAGGGATAGCAGTTGTATTAAGGGAGCCAATGCTGGGGGACAAAAGTTTTCTGAATGAGTCCAACACCGTCGATGACATGGTGATGCTAATTTTCCATCGATACCAATTTGCCGAAGACCCTCTTCATTGGCTCACTGCACGCTTTTGTTTGTCTGTGTCAGAACTACCTTTTTTCACGTTTCCTAACAACATTTTCCCCAGACCTGACAAAAGAATAATGATGTTACTCAGGAGATCCACAGGATTCACATTGCCTATGCCGCATGCCCATTTTGATCTGACCTACTATGGCTATCGTTAACAATGGCTGCAAGATTTGTGCATGTTTCTTGAAAACTACCTCTGTACTTGTCACATTGGACTCCATGGTGACAACGAAATGGCATTCAGGTCGCTTACATGTGTTCTTCATGGCCATGGTGCAATGTGAATTGATAGACAGATCCTAGCATAAGTTTACGACCGCAAAACTAAAAAGCAACACACTCAAAACGGATTAAGCGTGTAAAAGCGGGTAGCATGAAAGTTAGGCTATATCGGAACTAGCCTGAATGTGGAAGACTGTAAAAACTGAATAGTAAACTGAGGCGAAACGACCATTAACCACGAACTCGGACAAAACTCAAAAAACGAAAGTAACTCTCAGGGCATTAAACTCATATCAGATTCTATAGATGAAAAACTGTACGTTTTTTGCGTTAGGGCACAGCAAAAGTTGGAGAAATGCACATCACGTTAGGTCTAAACTTCGCGGTCGTAAATCGCGCGTAATGTAAACGCAAAGTAAACGCCAGTTAATCTAGGTACGTGTCAAACTAATGATGGCGTTCATATCAACTGAAATTTTCTTCTTGATCACATGATAACCAATACCTCTGCAGACATATTCAGATGAAATTTGAGTGATCTGAAAGATGCCCGAAACCAGGCTTTCGGATGTTTTATCGATATTACTTGGTATTAAGACGGACATTCACTAAGTTAGATATCATTATGTTCACCATAGTTTACACAACCTTAGTGAGAACTAGACTTGAAAACTGTGTTCAGGTTGCGAGCCTCTCTTTGAAAGGTGACTGGGATATTTTGGGAAACGTGCTTGTGGCAGACAACCTGCAACTCCTCTGTTACTCGTTTTTCAGAATCCTGCTCTGAGAGCACAGATATGGAACTTTTGAAGTCTGAACAAACTTGACGTACGCGTATTCTCTAGGTCATAGTTTACACCAGGTACTCAACAAACCTGCTTTATAACGACTATAAACTTAAAACGTTGTATTGTATAAATACTTGACGCGACCGAAATTCTGAAACAATCATGCCCAGATTGGATCTGGTGTGTAAAGTGAACGCGATGTCACATCGAGAAATATTTTGAAGATTTTGCTCACTGTAACAGTAAAGCATAAACGTGACCATTAACGCTCCAAGACATCTGCACGAATGCAATGCTATTAATTTTTATTGATTTTATCTATTTAACCAACCTGCTTGGGAGGAATAGTGTGAGACGAAAGTGTTGTAGTTTTTAGATTGTTGTGAATGGGGAAATAGGAAGCCCAGACAACTACGAAAGCTATTTTCTTGGGACGTTATTTCATTTCATTCAAACCTTGTAAAACACATATTTATTTTTGTCCCTATTTTATTCTACATAACATGAGCTTTCGTTCTATGTAACGTTTACTGCCATACCCTTTTTTGTTCCGAAAATATTGCAATTTAAACATAATATTTTGCATCTTATTTTCTACCCTAATTCCCAGTTTCGGGCATAATTGTATTTTTCCAAATAATCGTACGTTGTGGTCAGGATATTCACCTATTTATTCATGTACATTTTTGCACTGATCCGAATTCAGAATTCAGATATTCATTAGCCCCACGTCAAGTTTTTTAAAAAAACCCCACCCACCTTTTTAAAAAATGTTTTTTCAACCCAAAATTGCAATATTTTTCATCCCGTTTCGTCCAATGAAATGGCTAGTTTTAAAGTTCGTTTTAATTTGTTAGTTATGTTTTGTCGGATTGTTATAAAACATCAGTACTTGTCGACGAAGTACATTTTAATCATAATTATGGAGGAGAGTAACGTGCTTAGTACAAGCGCTGTTGTTTCTCACGTAACAGAAATGGAGGAGGTCTTTTTGACAACCTTGTTTCTCGTTGAGTTCCCATCGGTTGAAGCGTTGAAGTCCGCTATCACAAATTATGAAAGATCAACTTACTGTCATTATGTAGTTCGAGATTCGCATTTGTGCAGAAATGAAAACTCATACACTAAATTTGTGTGCTGGAGACATGGCCGTATAACATCTAGCGGTTCGTCACAGCGGATCAGACGGAGGAGGTAATTTTATTGATGTTATTAACATTTTTTGTCATGAAGGACTTCCATGAACACTCAATGTCCGGCCGTCATGTATTGTAAGATTATCGACGGCTACTGGACTGTTGTACGTGGGAATGTGCATCACAATCACGAGTGCAATTCCCTGAGGTACCAAGGTAATTCATGGGTGCGCAGGTTAACAGAGGCCCAGTTTGAAAATGTGTGACCGTTGCTAATATCTGGTACTGCTTCATTCCACATTAAGAATTATGCTTACTATTCTTATGGGAAACTACTGAATGATCAAGATACCTATAATATGCGGTACAAAGTGTTCTCACAGGCGAACATTCCTGGTAAGCCATTTTCCAATTTACAATGTAAACGATAGGTGATTACGGAAAATTGAAAGCGCACATAACATCTTTGGGTGAGCTATGCGAATACGAATTAGACGATGAGAACTGTCTATCGTACTTTTTCTTCACCACTGGTGATCAAAAGATTTTAGCAGATCGTTTCGGTGATGTTATTGGTTTGGACGGAACATACAATACGAATAACGAGAATGTCTATTTATATCAGGTCGTAGTCCTTGATATGAATTTGAAGACAATACCCGTTTGTATTGCATTTATAAGTCGCGAAACATCGACTTTGATTTCTCGATTCCTGTCGTTCTTCCAACGGTCAACCAACAGTCGACAGGTGGTAGGCATTGTGACAGATGATTCACCTGCAATAGCTGCTGCCATCATGCAGGTGTATTCCAATGCTCACCATATCTTGCGTCGCGTCCACCTTGTTTGCAATGTTATAAAGAGGGCAAGTGTTTCATTCATTAACATTAACCCAGTAACCTTAATTGTAGAGGGTACGATCAGAAGTGATACAACTATTTTTTCGCCTGATGTTTACTCAAACGGTTGAAAGGTAAATCAAAAGCAACATAACATTATTTTGTAGTTTTAACAATGTATTATCCTTGATCGAAATATCGGACGGAACGTTTGCCTGATATGTCAGAGACCACCTATTACCGAGAAAACACAAATGGTCTACAGCTTTTCGACCATTATCAACGCTACTTCAACTCAATAATACGAACTTTGTTGAGACAAGTCACCGAATTTTGAAGATGCATCAACTGAGTCGAAAAACACCTGTGCTGAGATCTATTTTTAGTGTGCTACTTCGCGTTGGATATTGGATGGAAGCAAGATTACAGAAATATACATCAGATTGCCGAATAAAAGCCAACATCGGCCAAGAGCCAGCAATGCGTGGACTTCAGGAACGACTGACACCAGCTGCATGTCAAGTACTGAAGTGGCACCTGCGCACTCCTATAACGGAGTTTGTAATGTCTGTTGACTTATTCACGACTGTGGACGCAACAGGCACTTACAATGTACACCGTGATTCCATGCGCTGCTCCTGTTCATTTTCCATTGAAAACGGTTTGCCATGTCGGCATATATTGGCTTACTGTACACACAGTATTACTGATGTGAACTTACAGTCAATTTGTGATAGGTGGTTACACTCTGATACTTATCTGACTCGTATTGCAGTTGAGAATTATTTCCCAATGCAATTGAGCCAGCCGAGCATGAAGAATACAGTGATTGCGTTAGTCAGGCGACTGTCTGAGGAACAATGCAGTTCACTTTATAGCCAATTTTATCAAGAACTTCACGGTAGACTACCACCAACGCCGTTGAACTTACAGGCAGAACCCCAGTTGTACACTGGAACAAGCATCTCGACTAACTTTACAACGCCGTTGATGCACCGAGGAAATGTTGATTTGGATGAAACGTCAAGTAACGACGGAGATGACGTAGTTTCTGTAAACTCAGAAGAGTTAACAGGACGGGACATCCAAAATGAAGAAGAAGATGAAGAGAACCGTTTGTGTGACATCTGTAATCTTGCACAGCCGCCCTGTGAAACTGGTGATGAAGTAGGTTGGGTTTTCTGTCCTTGTGAAGCTATGTTTCATAGATTCTGTGCTTATGACCCATCACCGAACGTACGAGCAGTCCACTGTCCGATGTGTGGCGCCATTACCAACTAATAGTTTGGACGTCTCACCGCGAGAACGACTAAAGGCCCTTTTCAGGGCCACTCACATATTGATTTACATTCATTTTTCCCAATATTGTTTTTGTCTATGGCAAAGGTCAAGTGATTAAGCACTTTTTAATGTCAAATGCATTTAGATATACCTTAGATATTATTAATCGAAAAGCGATTATCGCATGTGAAATAAACAGGTTGGATAAAGAAAGGACCCAATTACTTGTTAACGAACATTTACCAAGTAGTTGATGGTTGAATATTACCCTTTCTGTTCAGGTTGTTCTTATTTGCCCATAGATACAGCGCTTCTGCTGTCAATCTTTCTTTCTGAGTGTTAAAACCTTTCTGAAGTTGATCTCGTGTCCTGTTTCCAACGCATGTAACGCTATTACCAACCTATTCTCAAGTTCCTTCATATCAACCAAGGATTCGAGAACATTTTTCACACACTTTATGTGTCCCTTCGATCTTACATTAAATTGCCTTGAAGTTTCTCCCACATAATCTGCATCACATTCATGACGTTCGGTTGGTCCGTTTCCCAGGTTTGATGGAAAGCAGCGAGCCAGGAGAGGGCTCAAAAGTGGCCGGATGACTACATCATTCAATAGTCGATGGTATTCACTGTTAGTCAAGACTTGAACATTTTCGGACGTTTAAGAGCTAAATGGTTTATTAAAGATACGGAAATTAAAGTTTGTATATGGCTCTTTTTTATTTCACTACAAATCAAATACACTGTTTCAATAGTGGGATGTTACTGAAGTTAATTTTGACTGACAGATATTTCTTGTTTTCCACAAATTCAAGGGAGTCCTGATACTGCGCTTTACAATCTTTTTGTGCAACAGTTTGAGAATTCGATCTGATCGATTCGCTATAGATTGATAGGCCAAATTATTCACATTTAAAGCGGATCGAAGGGACAATCATTTTCATGTGTATTTGTCAGACCATATAGCCTTACATTTATCCTATACATATTTGTCAACTTTTCGAAAACGCTGTTTATTCCGTTTTAGACAATCTATTAGTTGGTAGATGGTAGATTATATATGGAAGATATGAATATGTTTTCAGTTTTTAAATATGATTGTCCTTTTATATTCTCAAGATATTTCAATTTGCCGAAATTGATTATGGAGAAATGCAAAACTGTAATGGATTACAATAAACATTTATGCAAGTAATACACAACCAAATTTTATTTCGTAAGATAAATCCAACATAATGAACAGCACAATTGCAAAACCTGTAATGTTAATGTAAACCTTGCATTGTCGTTCGAAAATTGGTACATTCATTTACCAAATTACGTACACGAAACGAAACAACTGAATGTACTACGAAATAATACACAAGTCACACGTTACAATGGAATGATGTCAAAAATGCCGAATTGTACATCCTATATAACTGGCTCCACAAGAGTAGTTAAATCGGTAAATAAACATGGATTTAGTTAATCTAGTTAGAGTGTCTTCAGTGGTGCTTTAGTTTTCGAGCGACTGTAGCAAACCGCATCCAATGTGGCTGAAGTAAATTTTTTCTGAACCTCATTTCTTAGCCTTTTATTTACTATTCGTTGATACAACGTCTTACAAATTCTTTGTGCAACAGTTTGAGAATTGATATTTATCATTTCTCTGTAGCTTTATAGGCTGAATTATTCATACATAAAACATGTAGAAAGAGCAAGATTCTTGGTGGATTTGTTAACGGTTGTTGTAATATTGGTAGTAATGTGGTGGACCAAACTGTATATTAAACAAAAAGGAATAACAATAAAGTTATTACGTCCAAAAGTTAATATAACAATAAACAACTTATAAATTAGTAACGCAAAATAAAGGTTCAGGGACGTTACTTAAATCAGCTGGTTGTTGAGTGTCCCGTTGTGCTTGGTACCAAAGATCCGCAATTATAGATAATTAATAATTCCAATGAGGTAAATATGGCTCTAGCCAGTTTTCTCGATGTAGAATGCAATGTGGAAGTCACAAGAGTCTATAAATATAGTTGATAGTTAATCAATAGTTTAGTATTATATCCACAGGCATGATGGAACGAGGTATGTGTGTATAAGAGTGTCTTAATTAATGCACAGTTAACAATGTCGTGCAATATGTAATTCAAAACGGAAGGTCACCTACTTAAACGACAAGTACAATCGTCTAGTGATAAATGTACAGATTGTGGAAATAAATGCAAAAGCTATCAAAAACTATTTACAAAATAGGTTTATTAGGCCTATCTCCACAGTAATAATTATAGTTTTACTCTGTTTATTTTGAATTCACATAATATCTATTTTGTTGATGAACTTTAAATGTGAAAATACTCATCGCATAGAATTTTAATAAATTACTTCATTTCCTCAGTTTCTTTCAAGTTCATAAGGCCAACACAAAACTAGGTGTAAATAATAATATTGTTTATCCATATTGTATAAATACGCTTGACAGAATTGAACTGGTGGTAGTTGAAAGCTTATTTAGTATCAAGTCATTAAAAAACTGTGAATTCCACAATAATTTCAAACGATCTGAGTTAGTTATTTTTGTCATCATGTTTGTTGGCACTAAGCACATAATTTTAATAACAGTTTTTTCAGCGATTAGTGACACTATATAAGTAGCAGAAATTCAAAAGAACAGCTATAATAAATATGAAGCATTTGTTATTATTTCACATAACCGCGTTGCTTCTGCTTCTACATACCTCAGTACAACTTAGTAAGTCTTCCAACATTTATTGTTATCTTTTCATGTACATACTACTTATAATATCTTCAGTGAATTGTGTCAATGTGTATGGTGCATATATTTTGTCGATTTCAAATAATGTGACTGAATGAAATTGTTGATATTTGAATTGAGACAAATCAAATACTTGTCAATGTATTTCAGTTAACATTCACATGCCTCTAGGTATTTTTCATTGGTAATGGATGTTTAGAAGGAAGTGTTCTCTTGAAAAAGTCTAACTAGGCAGTAGATATTTCTTCGGAACCAGCACACACCTAAAGTTGAGTGAATGGTTGTAAAACCTCTACTTAAATGATGTATGGGTTGTTGCAAGCTATCGAAGTCTGATGATGTGTTATCTGAATTGATCTCAGTGG